ATATAGGAGAAGGAAAATCAGTAAACAAGACAAAACATACTAATTGAAACAGTCCCAGATAGTGCTATGGGATGGAAGGTAACTCAAAGATTGGACAGTTTGAGAGATTTTAAAACAGTAAAAGCGAGGGTGAAATCCCAGGGGAATTGAATGAACATCAGTTGGCTTACAAAGTAAATAGTGAAGGAAGCTAGAAAGGGCAAAGGAAAAACAGATGCAACCCAGACGGTGCACCAGTGGGTGAAGAAAGGAAGCCCAGTATAAAACAGGCGGCGGGGGGGGGGGAATATTTTTTATGTATGTAAAAATAGAAGAAAAATCTCCACTTTGGCCAAAAGGGGAAACTCTGCTTGGGCCTCCATTAGAATTCCACAAGATCTTACAGGATTCGTAGTTGGTAATTTAATACCTAACACCTGCCAATATCCCATATACTACAGAGCTACTTTAAATCTTTTTTTGTCTTGGCTTTTCTTGCTGTCATCTTGAACAGCTAATTTAGCTTTGACAAGGGAAAGCTGGGTTTCCTCAGTCAGGCTCTATGCAGGAAGCTTTGTAAAGCAAAACCCTTTTCTCTATTATAACAAATGGCTGATAGCAAGTGATTGAAAACAGGTACAGAACATTTCTGTAGTCCACGTTGCACTGATGGCTTCCATTTCTTCCCCTGCTAGAGAGAGCACATAAAATCCATGTGGCTCAGATTGGTAAACAGAACCAATCCATGTCTGAAGGAGTGGAGTTGGTTACTGCTGACCCTATTAAAACAATTGGGCTGGGAGGTGGGGATGAGTGTATGAGCTCTGGCCCTGTCACCATACGAGGCAAATCCTCATTTCCCAGGGTCTGAGTAGCATGGGGAGCCTTTGTGGGAAGACAGGATCTCTGCTGCAGAAGTTGTCCTTCCAATTCATAGAAGATGGTGGGGTGCTGGCAGAGCAAAGACAGCATACTCTCCCTTGCTCTCGCTCTCATTCATTGATTTAACTCCAAAGAAAAATACTTGGAGTATACTTTAGTTATTAAAGTTGGCATCAATAGGCATGCGTCCCAACAATTGGGTATACATTTGCAACACTCAAAGATTGATATTTTACATAATTAAAGTGAAAACCCATACAGCCCTGCCATTTCCTAACAGTCTTAAGAACTGGTGTTTTGTGCAAACTTAACTATTGCAGAACAGATTTCAGGTTGCATCAAATACAATACCGGTTTGGTGCCATGGAGGAGGCTGGAATTCCATTGCAGCTGTTTTGCACAGGTCATTAGAGGCTGAGTAATCAGTCTCCCAACTCCCCCAGGGTTGGGGTGGCAGTCTCATCCGCAGTTCGCCCAACACCTGGCCCCAAATCCGGAAGGAATGAGGGGGCAGGGGGCACTGGATGGAAAGCACCGTGCATTTCTTGGCAACTCTCCAAGTCGCCTCTGTGAGCAACAAACTTCAAAGATGAAAAATTGGATTTAAGTCATGGACATGTTATGAGTGAGGGAGGAGAAATTACTCTGCTAATTAATTCAGCAACTGAGCAGCCCGCTGCTTTCAAGATCCTCCGGAAGCCCCTCTGTGCAGCCTCCAGACAGGTCCCTATTATCAGGACCAAGATGAGCTTTTCTTGCTCCAGTTGCTGAAATGGCCAAAGTCAGGCTGTCTGTTCAAAGTGAGAGGGCTTCTCCCCATTAGAAACTGCAGAACTGGGGGCAAAGACCTCGAGCAGCAGGGGGCAGGTCTGAGGGATCCAGTTCCTACTCTTGTTTTCTCCAGTACTCGCCTCAGGTGCTGGGGAGACTTGGAAGATCTGTGGCACAACTGCAACAAGAGAAGGACATGGAGACAGGTGAGTCTCTTGCAAGACTATTCCAAGAGTCTTCTCCTTGATTTCCCTGCTTCTACTCTTATCAAAGTCCTACTACAGGGGTGGGACAAAGGGCTGCCATTGGCCTTTTCACTAAAAAAAAAAAAAAGTTCTACAACTATGGGGTTTTGCTAAAAAACAACTACTTTTGACTTTTTGAAATATGGCAACCCTAGTGGGACACCCCAGGCCTTGGGTGCTGGTCCTGGCCTGCGGCCCCCAGAATGTGGCTCACAAGGGAAGGTGGCCCTGTAGCTGACAACCGTCCCCCAGCCCTGTCCTATCAGCTGCCTCTGCCACCTCCTTCCTCCATAAATGCCTTCTCGCCTCTTTCAGTCAACTGCATCCTCATTGGACCCCACAAAACTGGAGGGCCACTGCACCAGATGGACCTTGGGTTGGATCCTGCAGTCTGGCTCTTCTGATCTTTTTACTAACTGCCGCCCCCCACTCCAGATCCTGTACTCTGAGCTGCCATCCTAGCCTATTGCTGCCCTTCTCTATCCAAAAAATGAGGGACATTTGCTCACCTGGTGCCACAAGCTGCTCCTAGCCTTGGAGCGGGACCACTCTGTTGCTCCTTCTCAATTACTTGAGCATAGAAGAGATGAGGAGGGCAGAGAAAACCAGTCAGAAGCCTGTAACCAAAATTTGTGGGGTGTGCTTGTGTGTGTGAGGCGGGGTGTCTAACGAAGAGGGGGAATCACTGCAGGATAGACAGAACAGAAATACGTTTAGCCTAATAGGTCATAGCAGGCCCATCCTGACCAATTCCTTCCATATCTCTGCAGTTAAGTGAACTGAAGGGCGTCCCAAGAGCTGGGAAGAGGCAGCCCGGAGCACAAAGGGCTTGGAGAGAAAGGAGGTCCCAGCTGCTACGGGTTTGGCAGCTCTGGCCATGCCAGGACCCAAAGAGCCTGGCCACCCCCAGTCTTGCCCCGGCTGCTTCGAGACTGGATTGCTGCCACGTGCTGGATGTCTTGGGCTTTCCTTGTGCTTGACCAGGAGCTGCAGTTAGAGCAGAATGCTTCAGCACAGAACGCTGACCTGTGCCCATGTAACTGCCTCCATCAGCCAAGTTGGTGCTGCTACAGGTGCCCCATAATACCTGTCCTGCATTTGTAAGAACTCCATTCTCACCTGCACTTTGGAACTCCCTGCCTGTTGAGGTCAGTCCGGCTCCTTCACTGGACTCTTGCTGGCACCGGCTTAAAACATTCTGGTTCAGACAAGCCTACCACGATGCTTAGAAAGTTGAAGTAATTTTAATCTATTTTAGTATTTTAACTTCTGTATGTTTTAAAGTATAGCATTTTAAAATTACTTTATCTTTTTGTAAACTGCTTTGAGGGCTTTTTGTACAATCCATCTGTGTAAATTTTATGAAACAAATAAATACAATCAATAGGTAGAAGGGAGAGGTTTCAACCCCCCCCTCCATCTAATACTAGAGCTTTGGATAATTCATTAACATTGATGGGGACTTCTTCACATAATTTTTAATTGGTATGTGAAATTGGCAGTCACAAGATGCAGTGAGGACTACAGGCTTGCAAGTTTAGAAAGGGGGTCACATCTATTCACAGAGGAGGAGGGTATCTATGGTTATAATCAGAAATGGCTATATAGAACTTCCAGGTTCAGACGCAGTCTACCACTGAAGCCACCTGTGAGAGGAGAAGCCCCAGGAGTCGGCTATGACTTGTGGGCTTCCTAGAGACATCTGGTTGGCCACTGGACTAAACAGGCCTCTGGTGTAAAACCACTTTTCCTGCTATGTTATATCCAACACTCCACCCCAAAGAAAAGAGAAGCATTGCCTGCATTTCAAGGGCTGCTCTGCCTCGTCTTCTTAGGACAGCCTGTCCTGCCCTGCCTGGAGAGGGAGGAGACCCCTAGGAGGGTCCTCCAAGCATCAAGGTGTCCCAGAAGAGGAGCAGAAAATGTTGGGCAACTGAGAGGGGAAGGTAGTGGAGTCTTGCTTAGAGCCAGAGAGACCCCCAGGAAGGGGGAGAATGCCTATTGCATTTGACGGTTGGAAAGATGGGAAATGGAGGCAGGGGGAGGTGTGGTGGTTAGAGGGCTGCACTAGGAGGACCTGGGAGACCAGGCAGGGTTCAAATCCCCACTCAGCCATGAAGCTCACTGGTTGACCTTGGGCCAGTCTCTTTTCTCAGCCTAGACTACTTCGCAGGGTTGTTGTGAGCTCCTGGGAGGAAAGGGGGCTATGAATGTAACAATAAATGTAAATGATGAGGTGGAAAGAAAATGGGAAGGCAGAGAAAGAATGTGGAGAAGCTGAGCTCTTTTGAAGGGGAGTGACTGGCTGAGACGATTTCAAGAGAGCCAAGGCTGCGCAGGGGACCCCAGGACCCCCCCCCCCAGGAGACCAAGAGTAGGAATTCTACTCACAGTATGAACAGTATGCTGTCCAGAAAAAGTCCCCCCTCCAATATACAGTGGTACCTCTGGTTACGAACTCAATTGGTTCTGGAGGTCCGTTCTTAACCTGAAACTGTTCTTAACCTGAGGTACCACGTTAGCTAGTGGGGCAGCAAATCAAAATGGAAAATGATCAAATTAGAAAATACTAATGAATCAAAAGCCTCTCCTGACCTCTCCTCACTAACCCACAAGGGACACCTGCAGTTGGTGACTTTTAAGGGAGAGATGTCACAAGGGAGGGCAAGGCATTGTTACCACGGCAACCCACCCACCTTGCCCCTCCTGAGTGGTGATGCTTCTTCAGAACTTTGGTGCACCTGCTGCTCTGTCCGCAGCTTTGCTGCATCTTCTCTCTTCAGGTTCACGTCTGTATTTCAGATCATTCTTCTTCCAACATTTCTAAAGAGAGACCATCCCCACAACCTTTAAGTGCAGAAGAAGACTCCCAAGTCTAGGGTTGTCCATAGCACAGGATTAGACCATCTGCTTTACATGCTGATGTTCAGTCCTGGCGGCATCTCCAGGTGGGGCTGCCCCCCCCCATCTGAATCCTAGAGAGCTGCTGCTGCTGCGGAGGTAGATAGGTCAACACACTGACTCTGTCCAAGGCAGCTTCCTATGAATAACCTTAAATAACCTATAAATAACCTTAGGTTATTTAGCTGAAGACTTACTTTTCCACAAGGCCTAAACAACCTCACAGGGTTGTTGTGGGACTAAAAAGGGGAGAGCTTTGTACACCTTGGAGGAATAGTGGGATATAAATGCAAAACTAAATAAAAACAAGTTGTGGAGTGAACAGCTAAAGGCTGCAGTCCTGACCCCATTTACCTAGCAGCAAGCCTTATTGTATTCAAAAGGATTAACTTCTGAGTAGGCCTGGCTAGGATTGTGCTGTGAGCTAGCATACCCTCCAACATTTCTCCAATGAAAATAGGGACGTCCCATTCCATAATGATAATTTTACTCTTTATACTTCACACATCTTACTGGGTTGCCCCAGCCACTCTGGGCAGCTTCCAACATATATTAAAAACATAATAAAAAATAAAACATTAAAAAAATTCCCTATACAGAATTGCCTTCAGACAGCTCGGAGGTTGGATAACTCCATGAAAATAGGGACATCCTAAGGAAAAGTGGGACACGGGTGGCGCTGTGGGTTAAACCACAGAGCCTAGGACTTGCCAATCCCCGCAACGGGGTGAGCTCCTGTTGCTCGGTCCCTGCTCCTGCCAACCTAGCAGTTCGAAAGCATGAAGTGCAAGTAGATAAATAGGTACCGCTCCGGCAGGAAGGTAAACGACGTTTCCGTGCGCTGTTCTGGTTCGCCAGAAGCAGCTTAGTCATGCTAGCCACATGACCCGGAAGCTGTACGCCAGCTCCCTTGGCCAATAAAGCGAGATGAGCGCCGCAACCCCAGAGTCGGTCACGACTGGACCTAATGGTCAGGGGTCCCTTTACCTTTTTAAGGAAAAGTGGGACATTCTGGGATCAAATCACAAACTGGGACAGCTTCTCTAAATCAGGGATGTCCCTGGAAAATAGGGACCCTTGGAGGGTCTGAGCTACATAGCTGGGGGTTCCCCCGTTCCAGTCTCTGCCCTGGCGTCATTCGGTGTCTTTAGCCAAGACCCATCTCAGCCTCAGAAGTCCCTACAGCTGCAATATGGGGAACGTATAGCTCTGGCCTACTTTACAGGGTTGTTGTAACCACACAGGGATACTGAGCATCTGAAAGCACCTGGCAAATGATGAGCCCTAAAAGGCCTCAGCCCAGTATACCTGAAGGAGCATCTCCACCTCCATCATTCTGCCCAGACACTGAGGTCCAGCACTGAGGTCCAGCTGCGCTCCCAAGCAATCATGTTTATGCCCTACACGCAAGTGACGCATAAACATGACTGTTTACAAACACGTGTTACTTACCTCCAGACTATACCTATTTTGCAGGAGGAATTCAAGTACATACTGGAAATTTTGGCTTGCGCAGTCGAAGTGGATTAAAACACTCCATTGCATTAGTGCAACAAATCCACTTTAAAACAAAAACAGGCATTGTGTGTTTAGGAAAGTGATGTGGAGATGACCTGAAAAGTGTGGGGGTAGACAAATGGTTAACAGGAAGTGGTATAAATGCCACACAAGCAAATCAGGATGGATGTTCATTGTCATATCTTTCTGCAAACCAATCAGAACAAATGCTCAACAAAGACCAATCAGTCCTGGCAAAATCAGGATGGATGGTCAGTAGGCAAATCATTCAGAGAAGCCCATAAGTCCTCTTTGCTATGCAAGCTGAAGAGCATTGTGGGTGAAGTGGTTGTAAGGTCCCAGTTTTGCTTTCTGCTTATGGGTCCATATACCAGTTGTGGAAAGGACAAGATGCATATGGCAGAGGATAAAGACAAAGCGTTGCTTGAGCAATTTCCCAACACCAGCAGCCGATGGAGCTCCTCTGGTTTTGTGGTCTGCACTCCGGGATTTGTCTGTGGGTGCCGGCAGGGGTGTTGCAACCTGCCACGACCAATAACCATCCATTTCAGGAGCAGAGTCTTCCTGAGCCAGCAATATGAAAAGAAGGAGGAAGAAAATGAGCAGCAAAATGTGAAGTTAATAAAAATACTTTATCCAATCAGGCTTTCAAAGCAAAGCGAGCCCAGGCTGGGCTTGGAAGCAGCAACCAGGCACGCTGGTTTTTTTACTCCACTTAGTGGTCTAATAGCTTGCAGAGCTTCTCTATTTAGCTTTATGACTTGCACATTTGCTCTTTTCATTTGCAAATTCAGCTATGGTGCCTGAGCTCCAGCATTCCCAGGACACTCTTGGTTAGGCTACTGCTCTAATTGTAGGACCCAGCTCTGAACTACTATTTCTGAATTCTCAGCTTCCAGGCTTGTATTGGTCTTACCTACTGTGTAAATAATTGACAGATAAATCTTAACACTGTCAACCCCCCAAGATGGTAAACTGGCTTCCCTTTGAACATGTTTCATCAGTTACGCCAGCAATGGCATTGGCTTTTCAGTCGGTGGCACCAACCAGGGGCCTTTCTGGCGAAAACCCAGATTCAGATCTGTGGGAATGAGGCTCTAGTTCCCATTTGCAGAGTATGTGGGAGGCAGCCCTGGGTCGTTTGACCCTTGGATTAGTTCACACTCACTTTTAAAGTTTAAAGCAACATCTAATTTTTGTTTAGTGTGCTTGCAGTTGCAGATTAAATATGCAATGCATATTTACTTAAGCTGCTATAGCGTCTTACACAGATTAAACTGTTACAGACTAATTAACTCTGAGGCAAACAGCAGCACAGCATAACATGTACCTGCTACTCTGACCATTAAGTCTGTTCCCAAACTGCCATAACTGTACCAACTGCCACCATAACTGCCACTGACTGTGCAACACCAGCAGAATTCTACAGCTCTTGCCATTAACCCTTTGCATGTGCATTTTGAATGCTAACATCCCACAAGATCAAGTGACTATCCTGATTACTTTAGGATCTCAAGCATAGTGGAAGGAAGCAGTAGCATGTAGAGCTGCCTTTAAAGGTAATTTAAAAGCAGCTGCAAACAGTGCAAAACTCAGGCTTAGGTTGCTGGAGCATGCATGCATGTGTTTCCGTGTGTGGGAATGCAGAGACACACTCACACCTTCCCTCATTGCCTTACGTATATAATTCCTTCCAATTTAGGTGGCAACTGTGTCTTTTATGCCTGCTTAGTTTTATGATGTTGTATAGCCTGCTCAGAGCTTTCATAATTTGAATTTAAATCATTGAAAACCCTGAAGCATAACTGAATTGTTGTGAGGGCACATTAGAACATATTTTATACAATTCTTCATGTATGGTTTATAGTCTTTGTGAACCGCTTAGAAGTTTTATTTACAGTTAAGCAGTATGAAATTTGCGTTAATAAATAAATAAAGTCAAGTCATGCAAAGGGAGGGAGGAAGCAGACACTTGAGATCAGCCCATTACTTTGTACCTACAAAAGGGAAGTGGCAGCTAAAACAGATGAAATATGCTGAATTTGCAAGTTTAACTTAAAATTAGAGATCAAGATGAGGAAGAGTTTAAGGAGGATTGGAAAATGTTTGTAGATTATTTAAAAGAAACATTGCAAATATGTTAAAACACAAGTAGCTTAAAATACGGGGGTTTGGCAAGTTGCCAGAGTAAATGGGTGTCAGGTGACAGGAAAAGGGAATCTTTAGCAAGGGTTGCTGGGAAGAAGGAGGGGGAGGGAAAAAGACCGGTATCCATCTTGGGCAGGCTGGCTGTTTGCTGGCTGGGAGAGATTCCTTGGACTCCAGGGCTGCACTGCTATGGGGTACACGCTCATCTTGAAATGACCATACTGTAAGATCTGGACCCTGCCCCCATGAGAGGTGTAAATAGGTGAATAAACCATATTTCTTAAAGCTATGACAGTCTCCACTGTGTCCCATTCCTCCAAAGGATTGGTGGGGAAAGACGTTACAGAGATCTGTTTCCCCACCGCTCACCTGGTGTCTCGTGGGGCCCAAATTCCAATTCCCACAAGACTTGGATCTTTTCCGAGGCCGAGAAAAAGGTCACTTTCCCACCCTCAGCAACAGTGACTTTCTCCTCAGGCTACACTGTGAGGGAGAGGACACCCCTTTTATGAATCAGATCCATATATTTACTTCACAATCTTTCCCCTGCTTTTAGCATGTGCCAATAATAAGGGCATTGGCACAGGATATTTTCTGGCGATTAATGAGTAGTTGGAGTTAATGATTCTCAGCTGCACTGTGAGCCATTAGCCGTCCCTCCAGATGGTGGTTAATCCCCAACATTTATCCCCACATCATTATTGTTGCCATGAAAAAAGTGAGAAATGCCTTTCAGACCTCTCTCTATAGAGAGACTGCTGTTTGCAGTCAAAGCCATTGAGGAAGATAATTCCACCTACAGAACAGAACCCCCTTCCTGTCTAGAAAGGATGGTCCTATGGAATGATTTGCAAGCACATCGCTTGATGTCTCCTTATTCTATGGCTTTCATAGAGTGGAAACTCTGACTGAGCACCCACTAAGTGATTCTTGAAACTTTTCTATGAAAATGAAAACCAACCAAGTTCTCCTCACTGACCAATGTGTGAATTTCTCTGGCATTGCTTATCAGTATGTTCAGAAAGGAAGGTTTTGGGCAGTTTATAAAGTCTCTTAAGTGAATCGATTGGCTTTATTTGAGTAAAAGACAGTAGTCTATAGCTACAATAAAGTATTTTGATGAACAACTGTCTTGTTGTCTGGGCAGCCCAGGACCTCCACACATAATGCCCAGGTTTGCCCCCGGGGGACTACCTTGGTTCTGCTAACACAGCAGTTTGACTTCACCCCAGAGAAAGAATGGAGAAAAGAAGGCACCATCTTAGTGATGGACTTACTCAATTATTTTCTTTGCATTTTGAGTTGTGGAACTCCTATATTCATTCAGCTCCATCAAGCCAAACACACTGAGAGACTCACCTATGCAAGTGTCCTTGCCATGAGGAGATGCTTAAGAGCACTCATGAAGCTCTCATTTACCTCAACTGGGGCTTGCACAGGGGAATGGATTGTGCCCACAGATTTTGAAGGCCAATGAGTAGCCTTGAAGTAGAGAGATATTCAACAGATTCCAAACAATATTACTTTGATTTCCCCTCTGTATAGCTGGTAGTGGCTCCCTTTGCCAACTCCACACCAGGCTGTGTCTGCCTGCCAACATGCGTTGTGTGGAGCTGAAGTATTCCTGCTTCCTGAGATCTTGCTGTGCAAGGATTTCTCCAGACAGGGAAGATTTGTGGGCTCCAAGTGTATTCAGGTCACCAAAAAGCGACCGTCCATCTGTCGCTAAGTGTGCACTTATATGTATACTCCCCTGTGCGGACTGCTAGTTCTTAACAGACTGATCAAAATGGCATAAAACAAGATTAGTATCCAAA